GTTCAAGAAAGATATCTCATCCAATCCTCGTGCTCTACGACGTCTGAGAACGGCATGTGAACGAGCAAAGCGAACATTGTCATCCAGCACTGAAGCCACCATTGAAATCGATGCTCTTATCGATGGAATCGACTATTACACGAAAATATCCCGAGCTCGATTCGAGGAACTCTGCTCTGACTTGTTCCGTTCTACACTGCTACCAGTTGAGAAGGCTCTATCCGATGCCAAAATGGACAAGAGATCAATCGATGACATAGTACTAGTCGGTGGATCAACACGCATTCCAAAGGTCCAATCATTGCTTCAGAACTTCTTCTGTGGAAAGTCTCTGAACTTGTCAATCAACCCAGACGAAGCCGTGGCCTATGGTGCTGCTATTCAAGCTGCCATTCTCAGTGGCGACAAGGACGAGAAGATTCAGGATGTGCTGCTGGTAGATGTGGCTCCACTATCTCTAGGAATCGAAACAGCTGGCGGTGTGATGACCAAGCTTGTTGAACGCAACAGCCGAATTCCATGCAAGCAAACTCAGATATTCTCGACTTATGCGGACAACCAGCCGGGAGTATCGATCCAGGTATTCGAAGGAGAACGAGTTATGACCAAGGACAACAATCGACTTGGCCAATTCGACCTGTCAGGCATTCCACCAGCTCCGAGAGGCGTTCCTCAGATTGAGGTCACATTCGATCTGGACGCAAACGGTATTCTAAATGTATCGGCCAAGGAGAAGAGTACCGGAAAGGAGAAGAACATCACAATCAAGAACGACAAGGGTCGATTGAGTCAGGCGGACATCGATCGAATGTTGGCCGAGGCGGAGAGATTCCACGAGGAAGACGAGAAGCAGAAGGAACGTGTTTCGGCCAGAAATCAATTGGAGAGTTACTGCTTCCAGTTGAAACAGTCGCTGGAATCGGCCGGTGACAAGTTGAGCGAGTCGGACAAGAACACAGTGAAGGACAAGTGTGACGAGATCCTTCGATGGTTGGATGGAAATACGATGGCCGAGAAGGACGAATTCGACCACAAAATGCAGGAACTGAGTCGAGTGTGCAGTCCAATTATGACTCGGTTGCATCAGGGAGCAGGATCATCGGCAGGAGCCTCGAGCTGTGGCCAACAGGCGGGAGGCTTCGGAGGCCGAACGGGACCCACCGTTGAGGAGGTCGACTGAATAGATTAATTTCTTAGTTTGAATGAAGAAGACTGAATTAGAAGCTTGTGTGATTACGGAATTGTAAGATAGTATTTGTGATTTAGCTGTTAAATTGTTATGGTTTATTTTCATGAAAATAAATTATTTTATGAATTCAAGAGATCTGTGTTACTGGCTTTATACTATTCGAAAGCTTTCCGAAATTCGTGTCTCTAAATTGAATTTAAATATGATCCTCATATATCCTTTGAAAGATGTCAACATTGTACCGTGAACCTCCGGTGGTCTAACCGTTTTTAATCTGAACCCGTTTTACTTTGAACCCCGCTAATTTGGTCGCCGTGCAAACTAAAAATTGTTCAAACGTCATTTCGCTCATGGAATGGACTAAAGCTATATGGAACGATGCGAAATGGAGCGCAGAATCAAAAAAAAAACCAGCAAATAAGGCTACCAGAAACACGCCTTTCTGTTACTAGAAGTTCAAATTAAAAATGAATCTCTTTAATATGCATTACACGGATACGAATTTTGTTCTTTTAAATCTAAAATAGAAATGAAGTAATGAAAATGGGTTGTTAGCGGAATGCTTTAATAAAACAGCAAAAAAAGGTTATCTTCCATTTAATTCCACTTAATTAATTTTGGTATCCATGACAGATACGTATTTCGACTACAATGTGCAGTCTTCATCAGTGTCATTCCCACTAAAGAACTTATCAAAATCTAACCCCCTTAAGTACTCATCCCCTAGGTATAAAAGTCAAGATCACAGGTATATAAATGAAACTACAATGTGTTGAATCGGAACCTACCTAACTAATTAAAACCAAAGATTTAAGTAAGCTAAAGGAGAAAAATCTATTCAACTCTCTAATAAGGAAAATCCCAAAGGCTTGGTAGCCATCATAATGAAGTAATGAAAATGGGTTGTTAGCGGAATGCTTTAATAAAACAGCAAAAAAAGGTTATCTTCCATTTAATTCCACTTAATTAATTTTGGTATCCATGACAGATACGTATTTCGACTACAATGTGCAGTCTTCATCAGTGTCATTCCCACTAAAGAACTTATCAAAATCTAACCCCCTTAAGTACTCATCCCCTAGGTATAAAAGTCAAGATCACAGGTATATAAATGAAACTACAATGTGTTGAATCGGAACCTACCTAACTAATTAAAACCAAAGATTTAAGTAAGCTAAAGGAGAAAAATCTATTCAACTCTCTAATAAGGAAAATCCCAAAGGCTTGGTAGCCATCATAATGAAGTAATGAAAATGGGTTGTTAGCGGAATGCTTTAATAAAACAGCAAAAAAAGGTTATCTTCCATTTAATTCCACTTAATTAATTTTGGTATCCATGACAGATACGTATTTCGACTACAATGTGCAGTCTTCATCAGTGTCATTCCCACTAAAGAACTTATCAAAATCTAACCCCCTTAAGTACTCATCCCCTAGGTATAAAAGTCAAGATCACAGGTATATAAATGAAACTACAATGTGTTGAATCGGAACCTACCTAACTAATTAAAACCAAAGATTTAAGTAAGCTAAAGGAGAAAAATCTATTCAACTCTCTAATAAGGAAAATCCCAAAGGCTTGGTAGCCATCATAATGAAGTAATGAAAATGGGTTGTTAGCGGAATGCTTTAATAAAACAGCAAAAAAAGGTTATCTTCCATTTAATTCCACTTAATTAATTTTGGTATCCATGACAGATACGTATTTCGACTACAATGTGCAGTCTTCATCAGTGTCATTCCCACTAAAGTAGTGGGAATTGTAGTTTCATTTATATACCTGTGATCTTGACTTTTATACCTAGGGGATGAGTACTTAAGGGGGTTAGATTTTGATAAGTTCTTTAGTGGGAATGACACTGATGAAGACTGCACATTGTAGTCGAAATACGTATCTGTCATGGATACCAAAATTAATTAAGTGGAATTAAATGGAAGATAACCTTTTTTTGCTGTTTTATAAAATAGAAATGTTTAAATGTATTAATTATTCAAAGTAAAGCGATTGCTCTATACGTGTCTGGACGTGATTGTGGAAAGATCCTGCATGCTGCAAAATCCCCATAGTATTGTTAAGTTTACCTATGGAGAGATGGACAATGGAAAGGTGGATTGGATAAATACCATCGCGTCACTTCTGAATACGGATGTGATTGCATCCGGATCATGTGATGACGATAATGCAAATTAAAGTACATGATTAGTGTGAATCATCTTAGTGCCTGCAACGTATTTAAATCTGGATTTAATGTATCGAAGACCCCAAGATGATTTATCCTAATTGGCCACTTTTATTTGATTTATTGCGCATTCGAAAATAATTTATAGTCATAAATAAAAATGTGTTTTTTTTTTCTAAACATAAAATACGTTTACAATAAACTGGAAAATCATGTTTAGCTTAGCTTAGCTTAGATTGACTGCACATATCAATGGTTGCTTTTCCGTGATTGATCAGATCACAAATTGTACAATGAATCAACTGAATGGGGCTGGGAGTGACCGCCCATTCTCATTGTACAAGTTTCAGTGACTCCATATTTTGTAAATCAATAACGGCGCCGGCCACGTCCTTGCAATCAGGTGGGAGTAGGGAAGGAATATTAGAGTGATTTTTGTTGTTTGTGGGCCGTGTTTACCTCTGCACCCGAACAAAAGACACAGGAAAGGAGATTTTGTGAGTATGTTGGGTTCGTTGGATCAGGATTCACCTTGATAAGTGATGCGACCATGGTTTTAAATAAATCAGTGTTATCATACATTATACTTGGATTTGCCTGAAGCCTAAACAAAATGGTGGATCATTATAATATAAATCTGAAGACGTTCCATCATCGAAAAGCTGAAAATAAACTTAAAGCATGAGCATGAGCAAAATTGACCGCCCGCGACTGCCAACACCTAAAAGCTGAAAACCAGTTTAAACAAATCAAATCAACAGACAAAACCAGGGTGAAAGCTGTGAGAGTGAATCATTACAGTATAAATCTAATGATATTCCGTTATCGAAGAGCTGGAAGAAAACTTAAATAATTTAAATCAATAGATCCAGTCTGAATGAAAACTGAAAAAAAAAAACAAAATAATTATACTGCAAAGACCCCATTTTGTCTGCTGGCAAAGTATGTGAACCTTAAACATCCATCTTGAAGGAGGAAGATATGAAATCACAATTATGTGGAGTATCTGAAAAATAACAGTTATGACATGTAATGTGAATATTAGGAAGATTTATCATCATCAAAATATTATTGAATCAACCTGTCAGAATGCTTCTGAAAATTTTTTTTACAGATAAATTAAAGTGATAAACTAAATAGTTCAAACAACAACTCCAGCCTGTAGAAAAGCTGAAAATGGGGAATCTTCACAATGTGTATTCTACGCTATTCCACTATCGATGGGCTGAAAGTATTCAGTCTAGATCAATAGACTTATCTAGGTATTTGAACCAAAGCTGGAAAAGAAAGAAAAAAAAAATATACGAATCACTTCCATCGTAGTAAAGATTTACTACGTACCAAGCCATATAATACATATGTTCACTACTCTCCAGCATCGAATCGCCATGTTAAGGACACACTTAACAACACAAAAAAAAACTAATCGGTCAAGTGTCAAGCTTACATATTCGATCGAGATATTTATTTTCTATACGAATCATGCTTCAACATGAAAAAAATCATAATGGATTATTCGTAGACACCTAACCGTAAAAACCCCGAGGAACATGCTTCATACGATCGAGGTCATCCCTCTGACAAATGGGAACGATGAAAATAAAACTCGATTGCTCCCCCGAAAGGACGCATCCGCTCCTGCAAACAATGCATCCGATCCCCAATCCGGCGGAACCGGCATCCTGCTCACTCATACCAACACCACCATCAGATAGGGGAAATTTTCCCCTACCTTATAGCGGCGTCACACCAAACCGACCATCAAACGCACTTCCCACAAAAGCAGACACGTTCACAGAACTTTGAGACCAGGGCGCAATCGCCTCTGCAAACAAACACGCCAATCAACGATCCCTCGTGATCCAAAGCTCATCCACAAAAACCAACAACACAAACAGGTAGAGGCATGATTCCTCTATCATTTGATATAGTTTGTTTGCGAGACTGAACCCCTATTCGCGAGCAATCGGTGACCAACAGGTCTGCCCACAAAACCAACAACGCCCAAATCTCAAAGCTCTCCGGACGTCCCTTCGAAAATGTAATCGAGAAATGTATAAGAACAATCATCAACTGGAACGTACTCACGACTCACCAAATCAATACATATATCCGGGAGCACAATCCCGATGCTTATTTTTCTCTCGCTAACCCGTCGTCGTTGAACGGCAAAAAAAAGGGAACTCGGTTTGCAATTTTGTGATACGGAATTTTTACTGCAAATAAACCGTGAATTCACGAATTTCACCACACCCAACTGCGAAACACGTTCAGAAGCACTTTTGGTACACTTTTGATACCAATTTCGTTCGAAAACACTTATTTTTTGCAACCAAAATCAACACCGATCATGCCGAGCTCTTTCACGCACCTTGAAGCGCTTAAATAAACTGATATTAAAAATTATCACTCGCGATGCCATTAATTTCTGGTCCGGGAGAAAAAATCAAAACTTCCCGGTAAGCGAGAAAACCACCATTCACAGACATATAACCGTCCGAGAGGCAGAGTGCCAGCGCTAATCCGGCAAATGCAGCCAAAAACTTTGAAAGCGAACGCACGCACAAAACAGAGAACAAACTTATAGCACAACCGTATCCAAAGAGGTTCGAAACTGCAAAATCATGAAATCAATAAACTGGAAAATCATGTTTAAAATACAAAATATTTATTTTTTTTTACAAAGCAGCCAAATCAATCAAAAATATTTACGTCTATTATCAACATGAATATTTTATTTTTTAAATAATCGTATCATAATTTTTATTTTAAACATTGTTGTCACATGACTTTTAACAAAAAAATCGAGGGGAGCGACATATGCGGAGATACAGGACATT